CGATTCATTTGTTTTTTGAGGAAGCAATGTTTGCGGTGCATGCACACAAGTGAAATATCCCCCGTCTAGCCTACGTAGACTTTTGGGGGCATTTGTTGTTTGCAAGCACCTATTAAGGCCGGCACAGCTGTTGAGATGTCACTTGGAACTGTTGTTATCCATGATCGGGAATCAAACTCGGGCACCGTGGCTTTGTAATGCAATGCGCTAACCACTGCATTTACCGCTCCCCCCACACACACACGTGCACGCTGCACACAAATGAATCAAATAAATGCTCGGTGAAGACACCAACAAAAACAAACATGGTCCCAGGAGTAGCGGCGGTGAGGCTGGCCTGCTGGTCGTGCCGCCCCGTGGCCGGTCAGGGGCAGGGTGGTGGGTTGTTGGCTTAGGGAGGGCACACCCTGGCAGCATCAACTGCAGCAGTGGGATCGGCAGCAGCAGGCGGCTGCAAGCTCACAGGAACAGATGGGACGCCCAGCTGGCGAGACACCGCGCCGAGCATTGTGCCGCCGACCGCCGCCGCTTTCACTCCCTGTCAGCCCCGCCGGCCCGTCGCTCAATGCCGGGACCTCAGTTCGGCGGTGTAGGCCAATGGGGCCGGCGCGTCACCGGCCCGTCACCGTCCCGGCGGGTACCCCCCCCCGCACCCCGGATTTACTCTGCCAGTCACCCTGCAGCCGCGGCCGCAACCTTCTTTCATGTGGGACCCCCTTCACCTCGACGCCTCCATCCTCCTCCTCCTCGTACCCCCTCTTGCCCCTGCCCGCCGCCCCCCAGCGCCACCACCCCAATCCCATTGCAACGGCGGCGGCGACCGGCGTTAAAAAAAAATACTAAATTTGCAAATTATACGGCCGGGGAAGAATGCGGCCCGCTGTAAGATGAGCCGCCCGATAAGCTAATCCCTTTTCTGCGCTGGTACAATGGCGTTCGCCCCGTGGTAAATATTGCGCTGCGCCGGAGGAAAATCCCTGGGACAAAAGAGGATGAGCGAATGGGCGAGCGAGCGAGCAGCCTGCAGAAGCTGTGTTCCACAGCCAGCTTGGCTGCTCTTTTGTTGGAAAAGCCAGCGCCTTACCCAGGATTGGGGGGGGGGGGGGGAAGGGGGGGGGGGGGGGGGGTGGCAGCGGCCAGCCCGGGACCTGATTCTGACCGACAAAAGGAACTTCAAACGGGAGTATTACTGAGCCCCGAGTGTGGTGGTGGTGGTGCTGGCGGTGTGTGGGCCGCGAGTTACGGACTGGTCGACCAGTCGCTGAATAGCGATCGAGGAACCGGCTCGGGTTTATTTTTGGCGGTGTGTTTAAAAAAAAGAAAAAGTGGTAAGAAAAAATAACGACACCTTAATTTTGCATGCTTTTTGTCACCTTCGCTCGAGCCGTGTTAACGTTCTATTATCAATCCTTTGAAGAGAAAAAAAAGCGGCGGCAGCTGCTAGAAAAGTTTGATTGTGTAGTACCTGCAAATTAAACAAGACACCGACTGTGTAATCACTCTGACATTACACACATTTGTGTGTTTGAATTTTTTTATTTTTCAAATTAGGATTACTCATTATTTTTAGAAGAAAAATAAAGATATTGAGATGCAAAACCCTTGTCGCAATTCGCCAAACATGCAAGGTTAACAAACAGGTTGGAGTGCCAAAAAATGATGAGGTGTTGAATTCATAAGTTGAAGGATTCATTTAAATTTGTTAAGAATTTAAATCTGAAAGGAAAAAAAACCACAGGTGCAATCCTTGCTCGTGTCCGTTGTGGGCGTGATTTGCACATTATCGCCACAAAGACAAAGATCCCCCGCATAGCCTTAACAGACTGTAGGGGCAAGTGCTGTTAGCGAGCACCTATGAAGGCCAGAACGGCACACGAGGGGGTGGGTGGCCAGCACCACGCCCGACCGCCTTTGTCTCCCCAGTGGGCATGTTTACACACCACACCAGGTACTCATTTGAGGCTGAGTCGACCTAAGGGAGGCCCAGGACCGGTTCAGATAATCGTCACTGGTGTTCGCCGTGAGCGGGAATTGAACCCGGGTCGCCAGGTTCGTAGCGCAGCGCGCTGACCGCTACACTATCGCTCCCCACACACACACACCAACATTCCCAGCAGCACTGCTCGAGAGCCATTCATGAGCAGCATCATACATGGTCAATCCACTGCTGGATCAAGGCCATCCCAAGCCATGGCCATCGAGCAATTTTGTGCCCAAATAATCGGCCCAGCACCTACTCCTTGGTCATCCTCGTGGATGCGTTCCATTCCTTGGCTGCTGCTCATAGGAACTAACCATGAGAAAAGTTCGACTCCATCACGTGGCTGGCCAAGCTCACCCACCTCGTGTAACACGCGTCGTGACCCTTACGCTTTCCTGCGACTGACGATTGTTGAATACGAAGACTCCGCTCTGGGCTGCTCCAAATTTAACCTTCATGGCAAGGTGCACGAGGACTGTGAACATGTGGTCCTTCGTGATCTGTTGAATTGCCATGATTCACGGTCACACCACATTCATCCTGCTGCATTTTATCCAAATGGGGAGAGGTACAGTCGTGGCTGACGCACTGCGCTACGAACCCGGTGACTCAAGTTCGATTCCCGCTCACGGTCAACACCAGTGACGATAATTATTGGTGGTGCGTGCATGAATATAGTTTAATTGTCCTGAAGATAAATGTGACTTTTTTACGAGGACAGACGAATGTCTGTGACGTTAAATCACGCAACGCACGTAACGTCGCGTGTTTTGGAACACATCGAGAGCGAGACACGAGGCCCTGAGTGCTCCTGTCTTGCCTGCCCTACCTTTGGTGAGGCCCACTACCTGTGCCGTGAGCACCTGGCACACGTGCCGAACAGGTGCGGGGATTGTCACCGCGGCCGGCAGAAGTGCAGAAGCGCATTAGGGCAATTAACCACAAACTCGGCGCATTCGCCCAGTTATTGATGAACGTGTTGATTTGTTGCGAGATGCAACGATTTTATTTTTGAGAATTGCTATCAAAAATGTTTGCAAATCTGCCAACACGCTGCCCACTTATTTAGCATAAAAATTCACCACCGATCAATGCCAATAAAACACAAAAGCCGAGATGGGAAGAGAAAACTGTTGAATCTATTCTTACGCTACTACTTGTTATGAATGCACTGGAGACGTAAATGGAATGTTCGGAATATTACCTTTCTGATTTTTTTATGTTGTATAATTTTTCTCAACACAGTCAGCTTTTTTTTTTTCCGTTCGCATCTCTCCCAGAGGAGTGCGATCCGTTGTGTTCGACAACGGGCCGCGGAAGCGGAGTACCGCAGAGCTACTTCTGAGATCCCTTAAAATGGTGCCTCTGTTCCTCACATTAGGGGGCGGCACTTTCCCCAAGCCGCTCCGCCGCTGAGCGTGATGGTTGTCGCATGACGGTCAACCCGATGTTTTGTATTCTCGGAGCTGGAATTTAGCCACGTTAAAATAGCGGAACTAAATTTAATGTGATGCCACCTGGCTCAGATGTCTGCCTTTGCTACTGAGAGATGACTCAGTGACCACTGCCGCCCTGGTGACTTCGATGGGAGACATGCCCTGAATACCCAGCCAGCTCAATCAGCACAACCAGAGTTGTTAGAATACTGTTGCCCCAAATCATTATCATAATGAAAAATGTCTTTAAAAATATTTGTTACGTTTAATATGAAATTGTAAATAGAAAAGAGTGTTTCGAGATGTAAAATACAAAGTGACGTATTGGTCCATCGGCCTCTGTATCTTCTAGACCGGTGCTGCTGCAAATGTCAACGAGTGTTTTTACAGAAGACGTTGCTGCAAATTTTTCATCGCTCGATGGCCCACAATGCCATTTTGTTTAATTTGCAAAGTGGTAACCCCCCCCCCCCGATCGGACTATTTAGTATGCGTTGATATCTGTTACAATTTCCCACAATCGGCCACAACAGCAGTGGGTTCATAACCCCGTGGTGCAGTGTCAGAGCAAAATGGAGAGCACGGTGCACTGTGCGTGACTTGCGCTCAACACGGCCACCTTCGTTCTCTATTCGTTTCCTCCGAGGGTGAGCGCTGACTGAATTTAGGCTCGCCGTGCGACGCGTTCAAAGGCCGACTTTGCAGTGAAGTTCGACTTTGATGCGCGATGTTTAAAGTGTAATGGGTGTTACAAAGGCACCGTTACAGAGAGATATCTTGAGATAAATGTTTAAGAGAAATGCTTCCTACTCAGTGTGTTGTGTTTGTAAATTCGGCGGCGTTAAACGCCATGCGGTAAGTCTTGCTCAAGCTCTTGCTGTAGCTGTTATTGCAGTAAATCCAATTAGCGGTTATGGAGGAGCTACAGAGCTAAGCTTTGGAGCGGTCAGGATTGGGAGGATGGGCTTAGTAGTTTACAGAAGTGAGCACGAGCCAAGGCCCAGACTGCTTCTGACTTGCCGCATCAAACAAAAAAAATTCAAGAAAAAAAAAACAACGTGCCATTCGTTCGGGCGAAGGGACGTAATCCTGCGTTGGGGTGGGCCGGTGTCGTGTGACAGAATAGACCCCGTCGTTTTCTCTCCATCTCTCCCCCCACCCACCCACCGCCCCCCTCCACCACCCCTCCCCTGTCCGACTCCGCGCTCTCTTTTTCTGCTCCGTTCCCCTGCAAACACCAATCGCCCCGCGGCTGAGCAGAGCAGCGAGGGAAATGGAAAGCGCCGTCACACGCGCACGCTCGCTAACGCGCGCTTATCGCGGCCGGCCAGATGGTCGGGCCGGATCAATGCTCGGCCCGCACGATCGATGCATCAGATAAGAGGCCGGGATGGAAATGGCACCGCCTCGGAAGGGCCGCCGAACCCCAGAATGAGAGCGCGCGGCCTCGCGATAATGAAAGTGATAGGGAAGGGAAACGGCGCCACGAGGAGCCGGGGAGAAGGTGCATCATCAAAACCCAGAGGAGGCTTCCCAACACGCTTGATTCTTTTTTTTTTTGGGGGGGGGGGGGGGCGCGGTGGCAACTTTGAAGCCGTCAAACACAAAATGAAGGTCCCGAGGATTGCAGCCCTTGGAGGACCCTTCTTTCCCCCGGATGTTCAACTTCGTTACGAGGCCCCTCCCTCGGTGGACCATTAACCCGGCACGCGACGACTCGATTACGGCCAATTAACGCCGCTCCGTGCACTGAATGCCGTTGCACGTGCGCAAGCTGCCATCCTCCTCTGGAAATTCCTGTGCACGGCCAGAGCCGCACGGGCGGCCGCTGCCCGCTGCCTGTGCAACGTGGGGTTAATGGGGATCCCGGCAGCTTCGGTGGGACTTGGGAGGATACGCAGCGAGAGTCGGGATCTCTCAAATACGTCGCCGCGTTATTGAGCACCGTGTCGTGCAGTATAATAACGCGGTCGTTTTGACGCGTTAAATAATTATGCTATGTTCTTGAAGCCTTGTGGTTTGAGTTCGATGATTCCAAGCCATGGCTGATATTGGCGACAAACGATATCCGGACCGGTCCTTGGTGAAGTATGGTCAAACAGCCCTTTTGACTAACACATGTGGGGAAGGCCTTCATACAGTAGTGGGTTGCGCAAAGGGTTCTAAATTATGTGATTAATCATTCCCAATCACACAGCTTCATAAAATCGCATGCAACTCGCACCAATATCTGCTCAGTGGGATGTTGCTCCTTCTCCTCTTCTCTCCCCAATGTCTGGAATTCCCTCCCTGGGCCCATCTGCCTGACTGGCCGCTTCTCTCTGTTAAAGTCCAGGGGCCTTCCTCCTCTCCTCTCTCTGTGTGATCGTTTCCATCTGTCTTCCCGTCCTCCCGTCTCCTCGCTCACTTAAGAAGCCCTCTCCTCCAGTCCCATTGCTTCCACAGTTCCCACCCTCACAAATCCCCCTTCTTCGTCCCCATGCGCTCACAACACTGGTGTCTTCCCCCGCGCGGCGTCTTGAGACTCGCGCTGCATTCGCCCGTTGAATGCATCCCGGTGTCAATTTATTGTCCGCGTTGTTTAATTATGCATTCGTACCAAAACCGCAACGCGATGCTTCCCTTTGGGACCGGTCAAATTTAACTCAACATTCGGGACAATGGTGGATCAGGGGACATTGTGTCACGTGGGGATAATTTTGGGGATCTTGAAAATGCGATGCTAGTTACGGGATAACTTGCACAGCTGGTTCGTTGGGTTGAGGTTTTAATTGTAATTGGAACGTTGGAGAAGTGCACAGGTAAAATAGAAACGCGACGGGAGCAGCGATGGCACGAATTGTTTTTATCGTTTGTCGTGTGATGCTTGGGAGTGTCGTGCATGTTTACGCACGCTCGAGTGCTTTGCCTTGTACACGCTAATTGGTCGCAGCGTTTTAACGGCCAAGAAAAGCAACCGTCGCTTCGTAATCCCACGAACGTGAAAGTAAATAAATAAACCGCATCCCCGCACCCTTACGCTCACAACGCACTCGGCGTCAACTTATTAAATCTCACAGTTCTGCGCGCTTGGCGCAGCGCTCGTAATGAGACTGTGGAAGTGTGAGAATCGTGCACGGGTGCGGCGCCGGGCAGCAGCCGCTGCTTTGGTCGCGATGCGCTCGCGACACGCGCGCCCCCGCGTCTTCGGCGGAACGACGATCGACAATTCGTGTCGGTGAAGGCGGTGAAGGCGGTGAAGACGGTGGCGGTGGTGGCGGCTGTGGGTGTCGGGCCGAGCTGAAGAGAAAGGGGGGGGGGGAGTCACGAGACAACGAGAGGGAGGAACCGTCCCCTGAAAGCGCCGACCACTGAAGGGCCCTAGTAGGGGAGCCAAAACAGCCGTGTCAAGGGCCCCGTAGCCTCTAATGGACACGCAATTAGCGGCCAATTTGCACACCTCTCCAGGGGAAGACCTATTGAGCCAGCAGCCAGCACGGGCCACTCTGGACGTCGCTAATTAATTGGGGCGGTCACCCCAGAGTGAGCCTCGTGCGATGTTTGTCCGTGGCTATTTATCAGGGGCGGTGGTGGTGGTGGTGGGGTGGTGTAAATCCCTGGCTTTGCCGCTACTCTTCCCGCTGACTATGCGCCCGCACTCGTGTCCTGCTCAAAGGCTTGACCTCTGGTGCCATCTAAAGGTGAGATCCCGAGCAGACATCGGCATTCTTTAAAAAAAAAGACCGCTCGTGACATCCACACCCACCTTCCCCCCTCTACAATTAAATCCGCACTTAATGGGAGCCCCCCCCCCCCCCCATGAAGCCCGATAAACCGGAGACCTTTCGCTTATACTGTCCAACCAATGCTGCCGATTGAACTTAAAATAGGAGGAAAATAAATGCTGCAAACCCTGAGCGGGACTGTGATGACATTTCTGCAGCACGAGGGCAGCCGACGTGGCTTGCGCTGGACATCTCTGGAGCCCAGTGGGTTGGGAACGTGTTTTGTGGTGTAGCGCGTTGGATTTTTTTCGGACCGATTTCAGCTCCGCGGGCGTGGCTACGGCCGCAGTGACGCGACATGCGCACTGCGTCCATGAGGTTATAGAAACTGGTCGACTTCGGTGATTTGGATTAAAAAAAAAACACTAGAATGCCTCCTTTGATGCGGGGTTATAGTTCGCAATATTTTGCTAATTTATATTCAGTTTTATGAAGAATCACCCACACCAGCAGCAACTATGAAAACAACTCAACGCACTCGCCAATAACACCGTGGCCTCGGATGAAGGCGTGTGTTGAGTTTGTTTACATTGAGTTGTTTTGAGAATTAAAATGTCGGGCTGACGGCGCTGCGACCGACACCACTCTGAGGCACCGCCCTCCTGGATAGTTTGACAGATCTGTCCGATCTATCAAAGCTGACAGATATGCAGTGCCACTCGGACCGAATTTAAACTCGATCCTCTAATATAGACGTGGCTCTGACGTCGATGCAGATGTTTTCCCGTTGAGCACTCTGTCCCACTCTCAAAGCTTGCGATAATCCGTTAGAGACCGAGCGACTTAACCTGGCCAGGGTGGCTCAGCGCTAGAGCGAGCGGCTCGCAATCGAAAGGTGATGAGTTCAAATCCTGGTTGGGGGTTCACCCAGACCATCATCCCTCTGGGCTCGTTAAAATAGCTACCACTTCACGGCAAAAGTCAACAGTGGTTGTCCTGTGGAAAGACTTACCCGCCGCCATAGGAATGTGGAATTTCCACCACTGGCTCAGGGCTGTGAACAGAAGATGCGCACCGCCTCAACGCTCATTTGAGCAACAGGAGATCACTTTGGCTTTTAGAATCACGACTGTAGACATTGGCAGTGTGCTCACTGCATTAAATAGCCGATGGGCTGATATCGTAATCGGCACGAGCTGCTGCATGGGTTAAATAGCTGACGCTTGTCGGCAAAGTCAAAAGTCTTCCTTTGTTTTATTTTGCCCCAAATTCTCTCCCGATCGCACGCGGGGGGGGGGGGGGGTATCGTGCCACCCCCACCCCCTCCCCCCACTGTTGAGCTCTCCCGCAAAGCAGTGCGCTGAGATATTCTGTACCGGATGAGTGGTTATTATCACTGCCACTCTCGTCACCCTTAGTTAAGTGTACATACCTTGGTCAAATGCCCAGAATCCAGCGGATCTCATCGGTTCTCAGAAGCTAGGCAGGTTTGAGCCTGGATAGCGCTTGGCTGGGCGACCACCGGCACGCACAAATGACAGGTGCAGTCAGATGATGCGGGGCTCCGTGCACAGCGGGGGGCGGTGCGAGAATATCAACTGTTGCATCGTGCTTCTATGCTCCTGCGCCTATGCTTCAACGGCCCGCACTGACCAGCCTGGTGAAAGCATGGTCAAATAACCCGACGACCCACACAGTTGTGGGGGAGGTCCTCATCCAGCAGTGGAGTGATGGTGTGCCGTGTGTGAGAGAACACAAATGCAGACATGTGGCCTTGGTGCCGCAGTGGTGAGATGTTAACTACCTCGCCTGGCGTACAGAAGGTCGTGGGTTTGATCCCGACCCTGACGCCTGTATTTTTGGAGTTTGCATGTTTCTCTCCATGCGAGCGCGTGGAATTTTCTCCCGGCCCTCCCGAGTTTTCTCCACACATTTTGCAACACATGCTTTCAGAGTATTTGGCTGCTATACATTTCCACATGATGAGCCACTTAGTTGAGCTATCAACTGTGGCCAGGTCGCTTCTGAAAAAAAAAATATAGCTCACCTGATACGATCAAAAAAATAAAGAATCATATATTTCCCTCCGTGAAACGCAACCCGCTCCAATGCACACAATGTACACACTGCGGACCGTGTATATGTGTGCTTGAGATAGAATCGCGTTATTTGCAAGTCCGTAATGCGGTGCTCATCTCGCCTACACCAACGTTTACCGAGCCGCGTAATAAAAAAAAAGCCCTACAAAGATCTCAACTCGGCGGTATTTTTGCAGAGCTCCTCGCTGTCGAGCGGAGAAAGAGAGAAGCCGCGACAACAGGCGCAACCGAGCGGGCGGAGAGAAATTTAATCACGGAGACGAAATTAGTGGTGAGTGAGGAACGTCATCGCAGGCCAGGGCCGCGTTCACAGGGGCCGTGGTGAGGCTCCGGGAGCCCCACGCACGCTACCTCCGCGGTGACCCTGGGTGGGGCGGCTGCGAAGGTGTAAACCGATCTATGTACACTGGCGGCATTTCACTCTGCCCTCTTGATGCCGACGGCTCTACTTCGACCGTGCGGAGTCGTGTCGGAGACGCGGAGCCGCCACTGCCGGGACCCTAGGTTCCAATTGAGGCTTCGGCCGCTGTCCGTGAATTAACCGGGTTCTCGAGTGCGGAGATTCCATGGTCTCAGCCCGGTCACTGATTGCCTGTGCAAATGATCAGGGTGATAGATTATATTTTTTCTCATTGCAGCTTATTTCAACGGTGGAATCAAACGTGTGTGCTTCATGTCCACATGACGGACACTCTTTGCAGGATGGACCAAAGGTATGTAAATGAAGAAAATTAACGACTTATACGTAACTTAAGCATACATTTGTAATGCAATAGCAATATCATTTTACAGCCCTTTGCCAATCCACTGCAGGATAAAGGCAGTCATGTGATTTTTTTTTTACCATACTTCACCAAACTGGTGGGTTTCTTAAGAGTTGGGGGATGAACCCAGGGCCGGTTGAGATGCACTCGCCACTCAAGTCAGCCATGGCCTGTAACGAAGTCAAGACGCCTGGTTATTAGTGCAGTGTGCTAATCGCTGTGCCACCACTCCCCCGCTTGTGGTGTGGTCACAAAACTACGTTGAACCTTCTACGGCTCCACTCCAGTCTGGTGTTCGCAGTTCTGAATAAGAGTACGCCACGAAAGCAGAGCAGATTAAATAACAGTTTGTACAATAGATACATTTCCCTACTGCACTTTGCCGAAATTACAGTGCACTGTGGGACAATTGCAGTGCAGCGCAATACATTGTTGTGCTGCACTATGCTCCCCTGTCCATGCTCCCTGCGTTCACCAACACCCCGCGCCGAGTAGCGCGGCGAGGCCCGGTCAAACGACGCCCCCCCAACTCCGCACGGCGTGAGGAGGCCCTCATCCAGCAGCGGACTCGCACAAAATGGCCCGCTCACGTTCACGGAGCTCTAAATCTGAAACATGAACAAGGCACGTGCGGAGCAGCGACGGAGACGCATGGAATCGGCACCGCCTTGAGGAGAGCCCTCTCCGCTACAGCGGCGTCGCCGCGGCCCGAGCTGCAAGTCTGGGATTTCAAAGTCGGGGGGGGGTGGAACCTGGCGGTTCGTGACGCGTGGAACGCGTCTGGGCGCGTTCGGCCTGCGTCCAGGGGGAGAGGAAACCCACCATCACCACCACCACGGGGGTAATGTTCCTATTTGGGTCTGCAGCCTATACTTAACCCTCAGTGACCTCACTCCCATTCCCGAATTATAATCCCGCGCCTAACCTCCAAACTAACCTTTGCTCAAACGCGAGTATTTAAACCGTTAACTCGTTGCGTACACATACATATCTTAAACATTTTCCTGAGTAAATATGGGAAGGGCTGACTAATTGTCAGTGCTAAATGAGCCATCGTGTCTCTAGCACGTGAGCATCGTCTCATCGCGTGTCTCGTCGTGTGTCTCGTCGTGTGTCTCGTCGTGTGTCTTCTCGTGTGTCTTCTCGTGTGTCTCGTCGCGTGTCTCGTCACGTGTCTCGTCACGTGTCTTCTCGTGTGTCTCGTCGCGTGTCTCGTCGTGTGTCTTCTCGTGTGTCTTCTCGTGTGTCTCGCCGTGTGTCTTGTCGCGTGTCTCGTCGTGTGTCTTCTCGTGTGTCTCGTCGTGTGTCTCGTCGCGTGTCTCGTCACGTGTCTCGTCACGTGTCTTCTCGTGTGTCTCGTCACGTGTCTCGTCACGTGTCTTCTCGTGTGTCTCGTCGCGTGTCTCGTCGTGTGTCTTCTCGTGTGTCTCGTCGTGTGTCTCGTCGCGTGTCTCGTCACGTGTCTCGTCACGTGTCTTCTCGTGTGTCTCGTCGCGTGTCTCGTCACGTGTCTTCTCGCGTGTCTCGTCGTGTGTCTCGTCGCGTGTCTCGTCACGTGTCTCGTCACGTGTCTTCTCGTGTGTCTCGTCGCGTGTCTCGTCGTGTCTTATCGTGTGAATCGCATCGCCAGTGTGCTGCATTGCTCCATTTGTTTCACAGCAATCACCTCGAGTGGTTCTCCTGTGAGTCTCGTCCTGGTCACTAGCGAGCGTAAGTGTGCGTCTGGATCACGCATTTGTACACTGTACATTAAACACGGCGATGATTATTACGTTGTTATTATGCTTGTTTTCCACAGGATAGTCTCTCTGAGTCTCAATGCAGATGTTCGCAGTAGGGGGCACTTCTGCTGCCGTGTATAATCCCAACGCAGTAATTTGCGGGGAATTTTCAGCATTGGGATGTTTGGCCAGTACCTGTTACATTGTGAAGAATTGTTTAGCTGTGGGGGGGGCGAGTGATTCAACTGCACCATCCTGCCGGCTCATTATGCACATCGCAACGATGATCGCGATTATGCGACAAAAAGATTATTGACGACGATAATAAAGATGCTTGCCGTGTTGATGACGTTCGTGATGACGGTGACAATGCTAATATAATAAGTGATGATGCATGTATTAAGTTTTAAGTTAACATGATGATGAATGGTGATGTGCATAAGAATCAAACATGACGGATGGTGTTGACGTCACACGTAGGATTTCGCAGCCAATGTTACGATTCACAGTCGTGTTTTGGTACGGCCACTTAACGATCTGACGAAATCTGTGTCGTTAAGAGCCCTCCACCACCCAACACGAGCTGAACACATTAAATTGTCACGTGGTGGCCGAGTGGCCCTGTGGCCGTGGAGGCTGTCCGCCTTCGCCAGCATCCCCAAGGCCGGGAGGCGAGGAGCGGAAACCCGAGCCTGGCCGCGCGTGGGAGGCCAGCGCCCGCGCCTGGGACGTGCCCCCCACGTCTGTCAGCGGCCACCATCTCCGCGTCGCGGCGCTCCCAAGCATGGCGCTTAAAGAGCTTAACCTTTCCACTGGCATGGACCGCCCAAAGCTTTAAAGTGTAAACCAATGCATTTTAATCAAATATTGTTTGTTTTTTCTTTGTTTTACTGCCACATGCAATGGGGTTTTTGCTCGTCGATTAACGCGTTGCGGTGCGGTGGATAGCTCGCCACGCTACAAACCTCGCGCTGCCCTGCAATTCTCAGTTCGAATCTTCGCCACGGCTAACATCCGTGGCGAGCGATGCTTGAACCGCCATCTCAACCACCCCCTTCGGCGAACCAAACTGACCATCGTGGTGAAGTATGGTCAAACAAAGCCCCGTGACAGATACGGTTGTGGAGTGGCCGACATCCAGCGGCGGATTGACAAGGCCTGCAAAGTGAGATGCGGCCTCTGCTCTGTGAGGGCTGCGAACGTGCAGGCCGGCGTGCCGGTGGCCGCTGGAGGCCCGCGCGCCGCTCGAACCGCGGCCCTCGCGTCTCGCTAATCCTCGGGGGGCCTCGGTTTGCCAGGACGTGTCCGCGCGTTCGATTCGAGGTCAAGAAGCCATCGTGGCCAGAGCCGTCGATGCCACCAGCGCAACCTCACCACAACCCCCTTCTCCCCTCTGGCAGGAGACACGTGACCTCCTTGTCCTGCCCTGACAGCCTCCCGCCGTCGGCTCTCGGGCCTTCCCCTTGGTCGCCGGGGCTCGTGTGAAATGTACGTATGTCGAATTTTTGTTTGTTCGCGCACCGTACGTAGCCGACCGTGCGAATAGGAGGGCGGCCGCGTTTTCCCGGTCGCATCTCCAGCACTCGCCTGCCGCGTTTCTCCTCCAGACTTGCGCATCGCTTCTCCGGTCTGACGACGACAATCGCGGCACCTGCGCCCGATGCTGGAGGCTTGTTTTCGAGCCGCGTGGTTAGGGTCCCTCCCTCTGACCCACGTGGGCATACGGACAGCGCTCCTGCCTCGGTGCACTTGGTTACCGATGCTCGAACAACGAAGAGAACTCTCGAGGAATATGAATCCACATGCAGTTTAACCTAATTTAATCGAGTAATTATGAAGATGGTGATGTTTTACTAAGACATTTGTCAGCTTGGTTCCTTGTAAACAAACTCAGGGTCAGGATTTGCTTTCATTTCCCTGGTGAGCGCTGAAACACTCAACACCTCCCAATGCTCCGCACCTCCTAACACTGCACACCACCTAACGCTCCACACCTCCTAACGCTCCACACCCCCTAACGCTCCGCACCCCCTAACGCACCGCACCCCCTAACACACCGCTCTGATTGAACTCTCATAATGCCGGGCTCGCGATACGATTAATGTCACCGTATTCACGATGCGATGAATGGTCGCGTCTCCGCTGGCATCGATTATGACGCTCACGATTCGATGCCTAATTGGCGCATTTGGCAATCGACCTCCATGAATCGGCGCGCCGTTCCGCCTCCGCCAAACCACGAGCAATGACAACCGCACCCAGCTGGCTTCTACGACCACGGACGCTGCGGCACGTGAGCCGCGTCCGGCAACGCCGGCCCCCTCCAGCGCGCGTCGCCTCCCCGCGCTCGGCACCGAAGCGGCGGGACGAGTCACGTCGACGGCCGCGGCCGGAGGCGACTCTCCGGAGCGAGCGAGGAACGCTCGCTCGGGGGGAGTCCGTCGGACGACACGTTCGCCGCGGCCCTTTGGAAGGTCTCCGGCGCTTCCCGGATGGGCCGGCCGCGTCCGCGGTGAAGCCGTTCCAAATTAGCGGCTTCGCCCGTGCAGCCACGGAAAAGGGGGGCCCCGCGCGTTCCCGAGCGGGGACAGCGCCGCGCGAGCGCGCGGGGGGTGATTCCGCGTGGCGGGCCCCGCGGCGCACCATTGATGCGCATCGTCGCCACACTATCGGGGCCGCGCTATCTGACAACCCTCCAAACGTTATTAGACTGCAGACAAAGCCGAACGCGGTGATCGCGTCGGATAGCGGCGAGCGCGGCAGATGTCCTTGATAAAAAAAAAAAAAGGGGCCGGTCCCTCGCAGGCGCCACGTCCCCGGGACTCCGTATCGCGCGCGCTGGGGATTTGTGTTCGCGTTATCTTAACAAGAGTTTGCCTCGTCGTCGCATTTTCGCCAGCCAGCTTACTGTACAAAACCACTTATTTTCCTCCTCTCCACCTTTTTATCCCCCCCCCCGCACGGCGTTATCTTCGTGTAATCTCAGCAAGGAAATCAGAGCTTAGGTCTTCAGTCACATCCACACGCTCGGCCTAATGCAGGCGTCTCGGCGGCCGCCAAGAAGGTAACCCTCAGCCTGTCGTCGCATTATCGCCCCACATTCACAACCTCGCTCTAATCTCCAACCTTCACTCGACCGGAAACTTTCGCCACTCGCACGCTTTTTTCGGACTTGCCAGCCAAGTCGCCGCCCGCGTCGGACGGTGGCAACATTGGGACGGTGAGTGGCGGTGGTGCCCGGTGGCCCGCTGCGGAACATATTTGCGTTTTTAAGTGAAGCAAAAGAAGAAAAAAATATATTCTCGGCGTCGACGCGTCTGCTAATGCGGCCTCGGGCAGGACTTAAACCCGGGGGCTCGGTGAAAGTGGGGTTGTGACACATGGGGGACAACGTTGTTGTGTTCTGGGAAGGATCGCGCTCCCTTTTGTGAGGACGCTCTCTGGCGAGGGTAATCTGCAGACAAAGGCCGCTGATTAACCTCGTTGGTGGAGGAGGAGGAGGACGTTGGTGGGGATGAGACAAACGTCTCGCTCCCCACCTCAGGCGCCTGCCCCCCCCCCCCCCCGGGGGGTTCTCTGCGGGCACTTTCTCCGCACCGCGGTGGACTTTGTAAAAGCCGCCCCCTTAATCTTTTCCCAGATGACCCCACTCGGGGGGGGGGGGGAGTGGTTGTGTGTGGGGGGGGGGGTAAACACTCGAAAAGTGTGGGGCGGAGAAAGACGAAAAGCAAAGATTTGTTGATGTTGCCCTCCCATCGCCGCCACTACCACCACCACCACCACTGGCAGATTTTACCTGAAGTGCTCAGTGTGAGCTCTCGCCCACCTTCTGAACTGGTAGCCGGCTCGGGTGTAAACTTCTGCGCTCCTCATGCATGCGTCACAAACATATCAAATGCTGGTACAACCCGCTGGCTTTAAAAGCCTCACCTTCACAGGATCAGACAGGCGTGTCATTTTCACAGAGCAAACCGTCACAGATGAATGTGATCAGGCGTAACATTTATTTTGTGGCCGTTTTTTGAAAGCAGTCTCATGTTGGGGCAAAGCCAAAATTAAAAATGTCCCATGAATTTCGTCTCAAAGCGCGTTTTAAATCCGTTCCAAATATATTTCGCTCGAATTCACAATGCCCAACAATAATTAATGGAAACAAAAAATAACATAGTCTTAGAATATATGTTTATCAGTTGAAATTCATGATTTGTACTTAAAATGATGCATACGGCATTTCTGTGAACATTCATTTGACTATTTTTACTTTATGTAGAGGTTTGGACCACTTCCTGATACCTGAGGTGGAGTGGTGGTACAGTGGTTCACGCACAGCACCGTGATCCCTGTTCCTTGAGTTCGATTCCCGGCCACGGCAAAATATCAGCGGCGAGTGATATATGTACCGGTCCTGGGCCACTCCTTGACCGACTTCCACTGACCAGCGTGGTGAAGTATGGACAAACAATCCCTCATTGCCAAAAGCCGTGGGGAGGCCTTCATCCAGCAGTGGAGTGACATGGCCGTGAGCGATTACCGTTCGTATCGCTGCGGGATAGCCGCGCTGGTGAGCAGAGGGCGTTGTTTCCTGACCCTGTCCGGGATTGGCACGGCGATGGACAGCCAGAGCCTCGGTGGCATGGCACGGGGAACTGATCTCGGTGCGAATTCCGGCTATGGGCACGCGGTCCCTGTGAAGGCCGTGCCAGGGCACGCCAGCCACGTTGCGTGCGCCACCCTCCTCCACCTGCCGTCCCGCGTAGCGTTCGCCATCACGCTGCGTTCCAACTCGTTGTTCGCTGTTCGGCCTCCGTGGTCTACACAGTCCGTGCGGAAGGAGGGCGACCCGAGCAACAAGTTGGGGGGTGAAGTGGCGGGCCCCAGTGGCGGGCGGATCGAACGCGCGGTGAATAGTCTGACGAGACGACACTGCACGAGAGTGCAGCACTCCCTGGCTGTGCAGCACCTCGAGATGTCCGATGCCTTAAATCACGACACACATTCAAAGTGCGTGGTAACCCAGAGATGAATTTTCCTGTGAACGTGTGCTCGGTCGCTGATAGCCTTGGGAGGATGTGGCATGAGTCGTAGCGGCAGTAACAGCGAGAGGTTACTTACTGGATGGTGGGCCCAAGGCTTAATTGCTGAATGTTCTCCGGGTCGCTAGGAGGAGGTACAATGGATGTGGTGTGCCGTTTATCTGAACATTATTGTGGTTCGGTTGCCAATGTTGATTAGGAATACAACAAAACGTGTACAAGTATCAAAGGGTACGTTCTGGTTAAATAAAATCGATTTATGGATGTAAAAGTATTAGAATGCTTTTGTAAGTGTTTATACTCTCAAACATTGTTATGGAGTTTGGGACAACTCAAAAGTAAGGCCCGTTTTAATGGCTACTGCTTACATTTTCATTCGGTCTGCATGGAATATGTTCAGGCGGTCTCGATTCATTTTTCGACGATGGTCTGCTTTCAGTGTGCGCTGTCTGTGAACAGGTCTGCAACATTTCATCTGAATCCGCGGAAGATCACTGCAAGATGGAACCCAACCTGCATGGGCTTATCAAACAAAAACAGAACTCTCCGAGATTCACACTGGCGCTGCCTCACGACAGAAGAATATAAAATAGGCTCTTGTTTAATGCGATGCCTCTTCTTCACCGCCCCCTCTCGTTCTTCTCCCCGAAGAAGGGCGATTGCCAACGCCACCGCCGCATCCCGTGGCACCCTAACTGCCACGAGCCCCGTCACTCGATTTGCCGTCCCGGCAGCAGCGCGTTTACATATTTTTGGCGATTTGAGTTGACCGTGACTTCTGGCCGTGGCTGCGAGTGATTATTATCGTCACCGTCGCCGGGCACATTGTTAGAGAAGGTAATTGCCCAAAACAGCTCGACACGAAGCAGGGCTCAAAGGACTCACAGCGCTCCTCCTCGGCAGAGCAGCTGTTCAAGCCTTGTGGTCTCCTTGAGACCTACAGACGTAACCGCTTCCTCCATGCCTGGCACGAGCGCGATCATTATAATCGCAAATTAAATACTTCCGAGGACAAACGGAAAGCCAGGCGATTGCATGGCTTCTTCTTGCTCGTGTTAAATCTGTTACACTTGGTTGGAAATGGAAGGTTACGACCACAGCACGCCTGCTCAGTAGTAATCGTAAAAAAAGTTACATTAACAGTAAAAGTGACTCGCATGGTGCATCCCCCTGGGCGCCTTGCACGTTCCTTATTATCCTCCTCTTCCTCCCCCCTCCTCCTGCTGCTGCCACATCAAATGCGCCGACGCCGCGTCTGCACCACCGACTTGTTGTGACAGAGGCTGCCGGCGCTGCGAAGATCGACGCGCCTCCGAAGCACGTGCCACCCTTCACTGTGCACCGTGCATGGTACGGCTGGGCCGGCTGGGCCGGCTGGGCCCCGCGTTCTCCGGCGCTGCGTCGTACGGAGTACGCCCGCAGCGTCAGGGGCCGTTGCTTGTGTCGCGCGCCTCTCCGTGCATGGGAGGTGTTTCTTGTTGAACCGAAGCCTTTCGCAGGTGGAGATTTATTTTCCAAGTTTCAAGCAAGCAATGTCTACTCGCCTGTACTGAATCGTTTAAAGGTGACGTCATTATTTCCCCATGCTCAAATTAACATGGGGGGGGGGGGGGGGGTGCTGCCCACCTTCCTTCGCAGTCCTGAGCCAATAATGGAAATTCCACATTCCTATGGAAGGAATTATTTTTTTCTTAGAACGGCCGACGATTGCTCACTCGGGATGAAGGGCTCAATCAACCCTGACTGTCATTTGAACTTATCGAGGAGAACTAAGGATTCTGCTGCCCTGTGCTGCAGTCACGAGATAGGACGCGTCACACTTTGATGATTGTCGTCTTTTTTGCGGCATCCTCTTACCGGAAGAAGCCGGTGACGCCAAATTCAATATTTTGATTCGCAACAACGTCGTCACTGCAAATTTGACAACAGCTACAACAACAGAGACTTACGGCAAGGGGAGGGATAAGAGAATCTGAGAATTTGGATTCTTCTGCGATAATCCCATGCATCGTGTCCAAGAGGCTAAAAGGCTTATGAAGTCTGATCTATGGCAGCCCCGAGAAAATTATTGTAATCTGCTTGTGATCCGCCGTCCCCCGTAAGATTATCCTGGCCCGACAATTGTCCATAATGAGTGGCGGGGATCCAGTGGAGGTGCGCTCCACGGCGGCCCTGCACAGCTCCGACCCTCGTGCGAGGAGCCACACCCAGCCCCAGGGCAACTCTCTGCCTCGGCTCGCGTTGTGTCAACAACAACAACAACACGTGCGGCGTGCGGAGCGATCGCGCCGCAGCTTACCTGGCCCCGGCTAAAGGCCACACGCCCCCTGCGTTCTGCACACATCTTTGAAGATACTTGAAAGAGACACTGGGGGGTGGGAGGGCCGAGAACAGGACACTCTAGCAGAAGTTTGGCAAGTTGAGAAAGTATTTATGAAGCAGGCTTATTGCCGGACTAGAACACAGCATTCAAATATTGACAGATTCATCCATCAGGCTTGCTGATTCGGACAGGTTTCGTTGAGTTTGTTTTTAGGATTCTCCTCCGATGTCCCTGACATTCTTGACAGTGGGCACACACATAACTCAGATTCATTGAAATGATTTCATTCACCAGAAAGCTTTCAAACGGCTTTGAGAATGCACAGACGTAACGCAAAGCATTCGTGATGTACGGATTTTTTTACTCGGCACTCGTCATCGGCAGCTGCAGCAGCCGTTGCTGGATCAAGGCCTCCCAAGCCTTTGCAGTCTCTCGTAATCACGGTCCTCGTTCCGCTCTCGTCGTTGTTACGTTGCCGTCGGTTTAGTTTGCGTCCGTAAGGGTTGTGATATTTGCAGCATTCGAATACTGCGGGTGAGAGGCAGAGTTTCCTCGGCAGATATTCCTCGCGTATTCTCCACGCGTCGCACGATGCACCCTTAATCTGGCATAAGCGGCTTTTCTGAAATTGCTTCCACCCATTATTGGTTTTTAATATCTGCTTAGTGATCTGTTTTATTGCCACTTTTTACCACCTGTTAGTTCCACTTATCCGAAGCCACCTCAATTATTCTCGAAAATATATTATTTTTCTGACTTAAGCGAAGATGCTAAATGTATGCATATGCCAATGATGGGACAGAATTGGAATGTGATTATTGCAACGTGATTATTACGAAAATAGAACCTTTTATACGCGTCCCAACATAACACAGTTGGTTAAAAATGCGCCAAAACATTAACTAAGGACGATTACAGTTGTCCGTTACATGAATAGGGAACGGCACAGGAGAGAGTTGTAACCATCACGTGTGAATATGCCCAAGCCCCACCAACCCTGATTTTGCTCCCCCATACGCCTATTCACACCCCCCCCCCCCCATCCACTGCACAAGACATTAACCAAACCAGAAGATTCTGGAGAACAAGATCGTTTATAAAGCTCACCCACAGGGGTCCCTATATCTGCTATGCACGTCACTTTTATCATCTGCACAACGATTTTACTTAGTTTTTTTAAATATTGTTGCTGCTGTTCACATCGTTGTTTTGATTTAAAGCTTTCGTGACTGCAGTAATTCATATCCTTAGCTCTTTCGGTAAAGTCACGTTGAAGGGAAACAATAACATAATAAAATATATAAAACAATACAAATTCTCACGACGTTTCGACCATAACACAAACGGTCGTCATCAGGTGTGAAAAAAAACAACGGCAAGAAACATTTGAAAGAAGTGTCGGTTTGCATTAATTTACTTATTTTCAAACGACTTACTTATTTATTTTTAAAAAACGTCAGCGCCACGCACAGCGATTTGGCAGTTTATTTAGAAGGACTAGTCCATCTATGTTCTGAAAAGAGAAGGGGGGAGACGAAAAATTAATGTATGCTGTCTGAAAGCCACCGCAAGCGTGAACAATCAATTGAGACCTGAAATGGTTTATGAAATCCTTCCAATGATTGCTAAGCCAGAATCCATCTTCTCGGTTGAAATTGTCTCCGTGCTTGTATATGTGGATAGCCTCATGAACGAATCTCTCATAGTAGCCAGATGGCTTACACTGGAAAAACCACCTCTGCGGTACACAATTCTACTCACCTGGTATCGACAATCAAGGGTATTTCCCTGTCCCCAGACGACCTGCTTGTCAGTTTTGATGTAGTTTCCTTATTCACCAAGGTTCCTGTACCTGACACCATCGCAATCATTGAAGACTTGGTTCATCAAGGACTAAACACTGAGGTACCCCCCCTGGTGAGACACTGTTTAACCAATACATACTTCACTTGGAATGGAACTTTCTACAAACAAACTGAGGGCACCCCAATGGGCTCCCCCCTATCTCCGGTTATAGCTAACATTTTCATGGAGAAATTTGAGACTTGACGCCATCCAGACTGCCACTCTGCGCCCAGCCTTATGCAAGAGGTACGTGGATGACACTTTTGTCATCTGGCCACATGGCCGGCCTGCTCTAGACCAATTCTTCGACCACATCAATTCCATACACCCAGCCATCAGATTTACCATGGAAGTCGAAAAAGATGGCAAGCTACCTTTTTTGGATGTCCTAATAAAAAAGAGACCTGATGGTTCAATGAGCCACTCTGTCTACAGGAAAGCTACCCATACGGATGCTTATCTGAAACCGGATTCCCACCACCATCCATCACAGAAGAATTCTCTCATCAAGACTCTGTGCCATAGAGCCCAATGCATATCCGACCAGGAACACATAGGCAGTGAACTCAAGCACGTACACCAAGCTCTTAAGGCTAATGGTTGCTCCGACTATACAATCCGCAAAGCTATCACTCAAACCATGAAGAAGGACCCTCTTGAGGAGCCTTTCAAAACCATCACTTTATCCTACATTGCGGGGATCACAAAAAGATCTCCAAAATCTTGAATAAACACAAGATCCAGGTCCGTTTCAACACATTACATAAAATCCGTGATCTGGTTCCGTCTGTAAAAGATGTGATTCCGGACATACAGTATCCTGGTGTCTACAAACTAAGTTGCCTTTGTGGTAGTAGTTGCATTGGAGAAACCAAACGCCATGTCTCGGACCGCATTCGTGAACACAAAGCAGACCTTAATCACGGTAGGACCAACACCTCGGCCGTGGCAGATCATTGTTATAATTCAGTAGGCTCACATGACATTGACTTTTCCAAGACAGAGGTTCTTTGTAAGCCATCTGGCTACCATGAGAGATTCGTTCATGAGGCTATCCACATATACAAGCACAGAGACAATTTCAACCGAGAAGATGGATTCTGGCTTAGCAATCATTGGAAGGATTTGATAACCCATTTCAGTTCTTAATTGATTGTTCATGCTTACGGTGGCTTTCAGACAGCATACATTAATTTTTCGTCTCCCCCCTCCTCTTTTCAGAACATAGATGGACTAGTCCTTCTAAATAAACTGCCAAATCGCTGCGCGTGGCGCTGACGTTTTTTTAAAATAAATAAATCGTTTAAAAATAAATAAGTTAATGCAAACCGACACTTCTTTCAAATGTTTCTTGCTGTTGGTTTTTTCACACCTGATGACGACCGTTTGTGTAATGGTCGAAACGTCGTGAGAATTTTTATTGTTTTATATATTTTATTATGTTATTGTTTCCCTTCAACGTGACTTTACCGAAAGAGCTAAGGATATCGTTGTTGTTAATTTGCTCAAGCTGAGAGAGAGCGACACGAGAACAAAGACTCACTGCCATGTATGCATGGGTATGTGATCAATAAAGCTGACTTACACACAAGCAGTGCATATTTTACATTGCAGTTTGTAAATGACTGCATACCATGCAATTTTGAATTACATAGCAGATAAATGTGAACGCCTCTCAAAACAATACAGACAACAGTGGGCACAGTACGGATTTTATAGAGGCTGGATGAAGGGTTCATATCGTGTTAGTCACGAGGGATGCTTCACCATACTTCACCATGCTGGTCAGTAAGGGTTCGTGAAGGGGGGGGGGAGTATGGAACTGTTCAGATACAACTCGACATTGATTTTAGCCGTGGTCAGGAATTGAACTCATAACGCCACTGCTCCCTCAATGATGACGATTGTTAAAATATCGTCCATTCCACAGACGGAGTGGCAGTGAAGAGTGTCTGCATGTGCCAGCCGCATAAGGAATGGATTTCATCTCATCACGTGCAGTGCGTTTATGACTTGGCACGGTAATGTGATTAATGTTGTGTACATGTCCACTCACGCCAGTGTTCTCCTTGACAAAACTCAAACGAATCCTAACGCTCGCGCATCCATGCGCCCGCAAATTATGCAACATTCCTGCAGCACCTTGGCCGAAACTTAGCGCTGCCTGGTTGCGTGGTGTTTATAAATAGCGCAGATTAAAGGGAGCTACAGTGCTAATATTGGATTATCTCTTTGTCATGAAGACAAGTCGAGTGCAGGCCTCCGGGTTATTGGGACTGAAAGCTGACAGAAGTGGGAAGGCGAATGGCAGCCAGGAAATTTGGCATCACGGGCACTGCGTTTGATGTGGCTGCGGATTTTGTGACCCAATCCCACACAGACAAACAGCAAAGTGTGCTCACTCAGGCAGCCAGCTAGAGCTGTCGGGGCCCAAATCCCAGCCCAGGGCAGGCAGGGCCTTGCTTACCCTGTCACGCGGAAATCTTTGCCCAAGGCGGCAGGCTTTAACCATCCGTGGGGAGCGCGATCCCAGTTCTAAAGGGAGCAGCGCCAAGCAGAGGAGATTAAGGAAGACTTCGGTAAACACTTTTGAAAATTAAATGTTGTTGCTTTTGAGATTTTAATTTTGCTCTCATATTTCAGCGCACCTACTAAATTAAAGCTGCCCGCATTAGCGGCAATTTGTGATTCGCTCTATTTAATCATGGAATTAGTTGAAGTGAAGTGCAATTTAAATGTTCGCTGTTACATTGTCTGTGAGGTTTTATTTTAATTCAAACATGCTGTGCACAAGTTATAAAAAACAAGTAACATACAGCTGTAATTGTGTAGCAAAAAAAACAAACAAACATTTTATGCTTCTGATTAGAGGTTTTTAAAGCCTCCATTTCACAATGTTTTTTGAGATTTCTGTTAAATTTGCAATGGCTCAAAAATCCCGCTGAGGGGCTGCGTTGAAGTGTGACAGATGAGACGCGCTGCGACGGCGTCGCCGAGTCGTTGGTGTTTTGTCAATCAACAACGAATAATTGACAGCTCTTTGTCAATCTACTGCTGGATGACGAAGCCTCCTCCGCGCCAAGTCATTTCGTGGGGTTTTGTGGCCATACTTTTGGCTGCTGTGGTGCTCTCTCGCACACAAAGCCAAACACTCGGTTACAAATAATTTCCCAAAAATATCCCTCAGCGGGACCCCCCCTGACAGAGAATTCAAGCTCAGTGAGGCTTTCCCGGATAATAAGTAAATGACATGACTATTAGACGTGATAATTGCGTTTAATGTCATACTGCCCTCTGCGCGGTCCAATAACATATGTAATGACTCTAACAACCAATCATTAGCATTAACATACCGACGGAACGACGCTCCTCGGCGTCGCTTTGAGTAATTCTAAAACAATAATTTTCGCACAGCTGCAACTTACAACAATATCTGTTGCGTACATCTGCACGTCGATAATGTGTATCAACAAAGTGAGCCTTTTCAGCTTACGCCAAATGGTTTGCTTGTGCGGCCGGGATTAGTGGCCGGATGAATGGCGCATAATGCTCTATTGATGAGAGCTGCTCGGAGCGGCAGGTGTGAGTGCGTGCGCGCGACGACTCGCTGAAAGGTGTGCCGGAGTCAACGTTAATCCGCCGCATAAATCCGCGCAGGCGATACGACCATTATGCCCTTCTGTCGGAGGCAGTCGGGACGACGAGGTGTCAGCACCTCCTTTATGCCATTGTATCCGACGGCGTAAGCCCGTTTCCATTTCAGCGACGAAGGGCGAGATAATCGCAACGGCGCAAACTCGGCGCGGCCTCGACCACCGACTCCCTCCCCCTCGCTCTGCTCGCTTTGTCGGCTTTTTTTTCTCGGGACAGAAATGAAATTTCCCCCGTGCCCCGGTAATTGACCGTCTCGGGGCCGCCGCGGTCTCTTCTTTCGTGTTCGAAGCCCGCGAGCTTCGAATCTCGGGAGGTTCTTAGCTCGGGAACTTCTTAGCTCGGGAGCTTCGCAGCCTGGGGGATTCGAAGCCCACGAGATTTGAAGCCAGCGAGCTTCGCAGTCCGCGAGCTTCTCGGCTCGGGAGCTTCTCGACTCGGAAGCTTCGCAGTCCGCGAGCTTCTGAGCTCGGGAGCTTCGTAGCCCATGAGTGCGAGCGGCGGCGGATGACGCCCCCGACGTGGCCGTTCGTGGCGTCAGACACGGGGTTAAAATAAAGCCTCCAAGATATAATCCACCATGAAGGGCCTCGCTTCTAACTCACGCTCTTCATGGTGCGCTTCAACGGCAGATGGGGCGGCAATGTCACTCACTGGCTGCCTAAATGACAAGTACGTCACACTCCGACGCAGCGGTGTGAAATTATATATCCCCCTGCGCCATCAACCCTCAGATGCAGTGAAATGTTATTGCGTAAGAAGAGTGTTAAATGTTCTCTATATCAAGTTACAATATTTCTGCTCAAGCTGGTACAGTCATTGAATGTTTTTTTCGGCGAGCTTTTATCTATTTGAAGGTCAATTTAACCATCCAGCCTTTTCCTATCTCGTGAACAAATTAAGTATAAAATATCAGTGTACGTATCCTGCTGAGTTAGAGTTCTCTGGTGTTTCCATATTGTATGTAAATACAAAATCCTAGGCACCTTGCGCCAGTTGTTCATATACAGGGGTTCCTTCCCAAGGTCATCTCAAGGCAAACCTAATTTTCTGAAATCCCTTTTAACAAGATCTTGCCACATGTGCTCTGCTGTGTCCCAATCTGCTCTGGTTGAGTTCGGCAGTAGCATGTCCTTGGCAAGCTGCTGCTGTTGCTGTTTGTGTTCGGACACAATATGCGACCGGCTCACTCTTTATCATTCAGTCTCAAGACTTTTTTTAAGGACGGTCTTGGAAATATTTTTTGCAGTCGGGGCCGATTTTACTGCTGCGTGAAATCGCAATTAAGTAAATTTGCAGGTCATTTATTAGCAGTGTGATGTTTGGCCAACACCAGTTACATTATTTTGTGTGTGTGTGTGGTTTTTCAGCTATGCGATGAAACCGGAGAACCCGGAAGAAACCTGTGCAGAACAGGGGGAGAAAGTACAAACTCTACACCGACAGGCACCCGAGTTGGGAATCGAACCCAAGGTGCCTCTTGCTGTGAGGCGCGATTGTTATTACCACTTCGTCACCACGCTGGCATTGTTTCATCAGAATCAGAATATGTATATTGGAGGAATCCGATGAGCTATAAAACTATTTTCACAGACGTCCACTAGACATTGTGCCAAGCTCATCAATGTGGACGGAAACTGCTTCGATGACGGCGAGCCTCGCTGTGGTTATCATCTCAGTGTGTATGTAAGCGAGCCTGACGCCTGCTGTATATTTGGAGTTTGCATTCTCTCGCGTGGATTTTTCTCCGGGTCCTCCGGGTTTTCGCTCCGCATTGAGAAACACGCGTTGAGAGTATTTGGCTGCTATAAATGTCCACGTGGTGAGCCGCTTCGTTGAGCTATCGTTTGGGGCCAGGTCACTTCTGAAAAAAAGCTGCGTAGCTCAGTGGACCTTACCTGCTAACAATGAAAAATAGTTTTAGTAAGCAATCACGTGGTTCTAATTGTGCTGTCAGCATCGTGTCAGGAAACACCGCACCGCGTCTCTCTCAGAGCGGGGCCAGCCGTGTGCTGAGTGAACTGCAGTTGAGCGTTTGAATCCCTTTGTTGCTTCTGGAAGCACAGCAAGAACACAAACTATGCAATAATATAAAAAATGCAATCACGAAGCTATATGCGACTGATATTGCGATAATCGTCACGTCATGAAAATTGATATTGTACAGTGAAATATTTATGCTGGGGCGACCCTAAGGATTTCACGGCTGTTTAGTATTCCCCTCCGCTATTAGTTCCACTCCGTATTGGAGAGAGATCGACGTTTGCTTGCAGCCAGGTAAGAGCCCAACTGAGACGGGAAGACTCTGGTGCAAGGGAGACATGGGCGTGAAGACTCGTGAACGCTCGCGAGATTAATATTCAACAGCAGTTCCCCTGCTCCAAGTGTCGATGATTAACATGAACGGGGTTGTTTGTTAGCTCATGGGCACGCTTAATCAGGGTCCGCTGAGAGGCCGTTGCCGACATCTACAATTTCATAATTCAGCGCGATTATCATCGGCGTGGAGCTGCGGTGGCGGCTGTGTGCTGTCCGTCTCGCCACTCTTCTTTCTCATCAATCCTCTTCTGCTTTTTGCTTTATTATTATGATTTATTTTAGTTCTCTGATCCAACGTTCCTCCTTCTGTCTCCCAGTGCAACAATCAAGCGTGCACCTCTCCGCACTTCGTTGCACGTTTTTCAGCTTTTAGTTCAACTTTTTTGGTCTTTGGTCAGTGTCCCGTATTTCTGGTCTACATGGACACAGCGGGTAAGAGGCAATTGTTTAAAACTCGTGGATCTCCAGGCACAATGGCATGTTGATTTTAACGATGAGGTTCACCTTGCAAACCTCTGGGCCAGCGTATGCAATCACCATCCCTCGCGGATCTGTGATCATATCGCCGGGCATCACTCCCGCACATGAACCAAGTTAATCGCTCCGTCGAGATGACGACGATTGTCCTCTTGGGCGCATTCTCTCCTTTAGCTGCCCATCCATCACCGGCTGTGTCCATGAGCCATCGTCTCCTGTGAGCAGTGCGTCTGGCCCCCAAGCCCAATTTTGTCTTCGTGGTGTGATTTGCATTCCCTAATCCATGTGTTCATAATTCTTCCCGAGTGATTACAAGCTTGCATTTCTCCGTGCGTCTGTGTCCACCGTTCCGCCGTTATTCCGCTCTGCCCGTGTGTATGATCCACACGTCATCGTGGGCAGCTTGCGCTGATTGATCGTGTTTTTACTCAGGCACAACGGTATGGCGATTTCCATTATGAAGTGACTTTTTACGGACGATTACTCACACGAAAATATATGAAACCAAATAACTTTTTTTTATCGTGTTACACTGTAATGTTTTTAGGAAGAGTGAAGTGGTTCACAGTCGGAAGGTTGCGAGCTTAAATCCTGGTCGGGTGTTGACTCGGCCCATCATCCTTCCGAGGTCGCTAAAATGATGACCATTATGTGGAGAATTCATTCAACAGTGGTTGTCCTGTGAATAAGCCTCGTCTCCACCATTTGTAATGAAATGATTCCCACCGCTGGCTCTGCGCCCTAAATGGGAGATAATCAGGGAATCACTTTGACTCTGACTTACTGTGAAATAGATGCAAATGTGCATATAACATCGTATGCAATTGCCTGCAAATCTCCAGACGCAGATGTAATGAATGTATGAATAGCCGGTGGCGAGACAGACTCCCGTGTCGAGGCGCGACGGGCATGCCCCAGCCTCCGCCGCTGCCGACGCGCGCGTCTTAATTGGCGGCCAAGACATCCACGGATTCCGAGAGAGACGGTGTGTGGCACTTCGCATTGCCCGGCTCGCGCTTCCGTAATTGTTCTCTTCCTGCAAACATTTGATTTGTGGGGATAAGTGTCAGCCCGGCTTAGCGCCATCTGGGGCAGGACTCGGCACGTCCGTGGAGCGCGTGCGCTCGCCGGCTCTGCCTGCCTGCCTGCCGCCCGTGCCCGGCGCCTCGCAGTAGGTGAGAGCCGAACTGAGGCTGGCAGGTTCGCGTTTTTTTTTGTCAAATGTCAACTTTACACGGCTCCTTCTTCTCTTGGCAGGCCACGTCACAGTTTGGCACGTCGCCGATTTACTTGAGGACAGGTGGAATAAGTGCCTTTGTTTCCTGAGCTGCTTTATTCAACACGGCCAAATCCGGCAGGTCACCAGATCCTGCTGCCAGACTGCCATCCCCTGCTCCTCCTCCTCCCGCGGTGCATGGAGTGGGGGCTTAGGCAGCTCAAAGGCAGCCAGCGCAGCCAGTCGCGTGGAATGCAGTAATTACCTCATCCAATCAAACAGGTGGCAGTCATCTCCCCCCTTCGCTCTGGCCGACGGTTAAGCGGCGTGGACGCAGGTCACGACAGCCGCGGAAAACGAGACAGTGGCATTAGGACTACCGCAGGAAAAACAAAACCCAAAAAGGGTCACGCTGCCCTGTAATTATTTGAAAACGGTTTATCTGGTTTACGTTATAACTTCACGGTTTCGCCCGTGCCCCCCCCCCCCCCGCTCCACCGATAGGGGCCTCATCTCCGAGCTCCGGGTCAGCCTCTGCTGCCCCCTCTATCTGGAATTCAGCTGCGTAGCTTTCGAGTGCGCGGGCGGTACAACTGCACCAGGATCCACGAGCGAGAGGAGGCCTGGGCACTGGGCTAGAATTATGGGAGATATGGACTGCGGGAGGCCCCATTTTATTCCTTTCCCCAGGGCTAATGAGCATCAGCAATCGAACACGCGGCCACGTCCTGACCAACCGAGGCCTCGCCAGGATTATCGAGATGCGAGGGCCGCGGGTCGCTGGGCGCGAGCGGCGCGTGGCCCTCAGCGGCCACCGGTACGCCGGCCTCCACGTTCACAGCCCTCACAGAGCAGAGGCCACATCTACAGTGAGGGAAAAAAAGTATTTGATCCCCTGGTGATTTTGTACGTTTGCCCACTGACAAAGAAATGATCAGTCTATAATTTTTTAAAGGTTGTTTAATTTGAACAGTGAGAGACAGAATAACAACAACAAAAAATCCAGAAAAACGCATGTCAAAAATGTTATAAATGGATTTGCATTTTAATGAGGGAAATAAGTATTTGACCCCCTCTCAATCAGAAAGATTTCTGGCTCCCAGGTGTCTTCTATTCAGGTAACGAGCTGAGATTAGGAGCACACTCTTAAAGGGTGTGCTCCTAATCTGAGCTTGTTACCTGTATAAAAGGCACCTGTCCACAGAAGCAATCAATCAGATTCCAAACTCTCCACCATGGCCAAGACCAAAGAGCTCTCCAAGGATGTCAGGGACAAGATTGTAGACCTACACAAGGCTGGAATGGGCTACAAGACCATTGCCAAGCAGCTTGGTGAGAAGATGACAACAGTTGGTGCGATTATTCGCAAATGGAAGAAACACAAAAGAACTGTCAATCTCCCTCGGCCTGGGGCTCCATGCAAGATCTCACTTCGTGGAGTTGCAATGATCATGAGAACGGTGAGCAATCAGCCCAGAACTACACGGGAGGATCTTGTCAATGATCTCAAGGCAGCTGGGACCATAGTCACCAAGAAAACAATTGGTAACACACTACGCCGTGAAGGACTGAAATCCTGCAGCGCCCGCAATGTCCCCCTGCTCAAGAAAGCACATATACATGCCCGTCTGAAGTTTGCCAATGAACATCTGAATGATTCAGAGGACAACTGGGTGAAAGTGTTGTGGTCAGATGAGACCAAAATGGAGCTCTTTGGCATCAACTCAACTCGCCGTGTTTGGAGGAGGAGGAATGCTGCCTATGGCCCCAAGAACACCATCCCCACCGTCAAACATGGAGGTGGAAACATTATGCTTTGGGGGTGTTTTTCTGCTAAGGGGACAGGACAACTTCACCGCATCAAAGGGACGATGGACGGGGCCATGTACCGTCAAATCTTGGGTGAGAACCTCCTTCCCTCAGCCAGGGCATTGAAAATGGGTCGTGGATGGGTATTCCAGCATGACAATGACCCAAAACACACGGCCAAGTCAACAAAAGAGTGGCTCAAGAAGAAGCACATTAAGGTCCTGGAGTGGCCTAGCCAGTCTCCAGACCTTAATCCCATAGAAAATCTGTGGAGGGAGCTGAAGGTTCGAGTTGCCAAACGTCAGCCTCGAAACCTTAATGACTTGAAGAAGATCTGCAAAGAGGAGTGGGACAAAATCCCTCCTGAGATGTGTGCAAATCTGGTGGCCAACTACAAGAAACGTCTGACCTCTGTGATTGCCAATAAGGGTTTTGCCACCAAGTACTAAGTCATGTTTTGCAGAGGGGGTCAAATCCTTATTTCACTCATTAAAATGCAAATCAATTTATAACATTTTTGACATGCGTTTTTCTGGATTTGTCGTTGTTATTCTGTCTCTCACTGTTCAAATAAACCTACCATTAAAATTGTAGACTGATCATTTCTTTGTCAGTGGGCAAACGTACAAAATCAGCAGGGGATCAAATACTTGTTTCCCTCACTGTATCTGTATAGGCCTTGTCAATCCGCTGCTGGATGACGGCCACTCCACACCGTGTCTGTCACAGGGCGTTGTTTGGCCATGCTTCATCACGGTGGTCAGTGTGGGTTGGTCAAAGGGGAGGCCCAGCACCAGTTTAGGTATCACTCGCCACTGCTATTAAAGCAATGGCCCGGAAAGGAACTCTCATCGTGTTGTCTTTTCTGACAGCAAGGTGCTGTGACATCACCACGTGATCTTGTTCGGTCATGTTAAGAGTTGGCCAATTAAATTTTTTGTTTACCAGCTAAGACTCATTGAGCT